TCGGGACCCTAGCAGCACAGGCCATCCTTGGAACAGAACCAGGAGGGGTTCCCAATGACCCAAGAGACCTGCAAAGTTAAACCATTACAAAGAATGTTTAATAATGGGACTTCACAAAGGGTTCCCAAAGCTGAAAAGTTTAAATAAGATCCAGAGAGTATAGCAAGGACCAAAAGAAATCCATGTACTTTCCCTGAAAGGATTTTTGAGGCCTTCAGACAATATCCTGATATTGATCTGGAACACCCAGATAACACAAGATTGGTCAATATGACCTTTATTACTCAGAGTGCCCCAGATATAAGAAAAAAAAGCTACAAAGATTGGAAGGGGGACTGGGGATTCCAATGTCTCACTTGGTCAGGATTGCCTTTAAAGTGTTCAACAGCCCAGATCAAATTCAGGAAAAGCAGAAGCAACAGGTCATGAGATAATAAGCTTCTCTGCTCACCACAGGCTCAGCTATGACCAGTCAAGACCCAACAAGATGTCTGCAGGAAAAAACAAACGACCGTGGGTAAGACCCCCAGGATGCCCACAACCCAGCCGAAAAGGCCATCCATCTGTTGGGCCACAACAATGTGCCTTTTATAGACGGGAAGGACACTAGAAATGGGAGTGCCCTAACCTTCCTCAGCAAGAAAGAAAAGGGACTTACCTCAAAGCCTCCGCTAGATGCCGCAACTCACTGCTAGCGACCATTAGCTCCATTGACATTTCCCGCAAGGAACCCTGGGTAATAGTAACGCTGGGGAAAAATGTAGACTTCCTAATTAACACTGGAGATACTTACTCTGTACACCAGGCAGGATCCCCTCTCCCCAAGACCACATTCATTACTGGCGTATCTGGGGAAGGCTCTCATAAACATTTTCTACACCCGCTTGAATGTCACAGAAGAAAAACAAGTTTAAAGCACCACTTTCTGTATATGGCTAAGGGCCCTATTCCCTTGTTGGGGTGAGATCTACTAACAAAGTTAAATGCCTGAGAGACTTTCTCAGCAGAAAAAGGAGACATTGAAGTCCTCCCAGATCAAACCTGCACCCTCCAAGCTGTGCTATTACAACTGGGAGACAAACCTCAACCAGAAGTCCCTAAAGAAGTTCTACGAAAGGTAAGAGCAGATCTTGGGGCTGACCAGAGGCCAGGAAGAGCCAAGGCGGCTGACCAGTATCAGTAAAACTTCGTCCAGATGCCAAACTCCCAATTTAAGGCAATATCCTTTAAAGAGACATATAAAGGTAGGAATAAAGCCTCTGATAACCACTTTTCTTAAACACGAATTAATCCGACCTTGTCAATCTCCACATAACACTCCCATCCTGCAGGTACAAAAACCCAGGACTGGAGAGTATCATTTTGTACAAGACTGGAGAGTCATCGACCAAATTGTAGAGGATATACATTCGGTGGTGCCAAATCCTTATACTTTGCTTACAACTCTATCTGGAGACTTCTGCTGGTTTACAGTTCTGGGCTTAAAAGATGACTTTTACTACATACTCCTAAGTCCAGAGTCTCGAAACTGTTTGCCTTCGAATGGCACAGTCCAGAGACTAACATAAGACAACAATATTGCTGAATGATACTTCCACGAGGATTGAAGAATGCCGCCACCTTCAGGGAAGCCTTAGCCAAGGACTTAAGGGACCTCCAATTAAATAAGGGAGTTTCCCTCCAACATGTGGATGGCATACTAATTACTAATAAAAGTAAGGAACCTTCAGACCAAAATACCAGCCTCACTTTAAACTTTCTGGCAGACCGGGAATATAAAGTCTCCAAGAAAAAGGCACAAATTTCCCACCCAACCGCAAAATATCTAGAATTTGAGTTATCAAAAGGACAAGGAAACTTATTGCCGGATGGAAGGAAAACATTAGCTAGGGTGGCTGTACCCATTCACCTGAAGACAATCGCCAAAATATATCACAAAACCAACTTAACTTGGGATAAGGTCTTGCCAGCTGCCCTGCTTAGGGTGAGAGTAGCCCCTAGAAGCAGGCTCCAATTGAGCCCTTATGAATCATTACACGGGAGACCCTTCCTTAAGACTAAGTATTATTACAGTCTTAATAATGATCATGTTGTAAAAAGAAATTTGACACTATAAAACGTGCGCAGTCTCTAGGTGTTACTCTGTCTACTGTACATAAATACGCTCTAGTCAGTTAATGTTTCCCACAGATGTTCCCCTCACTGCATAAGCCCAGGAGGCTGGGTCCTCCCCAAAACTAAGAAAAATCAGCACCTGAGGATCGACTGCACCTAAGAGGAATAGACGCTCTCAAGTCCTTCTGGTTACTCATTCTTCAGTTCAGCTAAGGGAGGTAAACCTTGGAGACACCACTCACGAGTAAAGATAGTACCCATTTCTAGCCAGGACTCCCCTTGTCCTCTTTATAATCCCCAAACAGCTCACGCCCTTCATAGACAAGAAACAGAGGGATCAAATTGTCCAAACTCTAGGTGGCTATGGAGGACCATGGCTGACTTCTCCACCCAAACATATTCTTGTGAACCTCTGATTGATCTTAAGTTACTTTTCAGAAAAAGCAACAAAACTGAAAAGGCTCCGGGTTCTCCAGATGAATGAAAAACTGTTTCTGTCTCTAAGAGCAGCCTCTGCTGATCAGACTGGGAGGCCAGAAGCAGAGGACAACCAAAGGAGACAGCTTATCCGAGATAGCAGACCAGGCCTGTATGGACGCCACCTAATCTTTGCCTTGTTCCCAGACACGCTATTCTGCATTACTTAATTAACCATGCCTGCCTCCTTGATTCAATCCCAGAAGAGATTATTCAGGAACTTTGGCTCCTTTCTTGGGTATACTTCCTTAATGACTCGTTCCCTCCCTGGGGGAACCCCTCACACTGACACGTCGATGCCTGACGCCTTTTGGGACATCGTCTCCCATCTTCTCCTCACTGCAATTGCTCTCACTTCTTATTCCTACAGGTCAGTTGCCTCCTCCCAAAAGGACAGAGCCTGTTAGTCTGAGTCCAGACTACAAGATGTTCCCTGTTTTTCTTTGCTGTGTTCTTTTGTTCGCCCTCTGTTCTCAGGCTTGAAGAGATCATTCCTTAATAAGAATTTCAAAGGATCTTTCAAAACAAGGAAACCTAACTGACCATTGGATTTGCCACCCAATGCCCTACTAGGCACATCGTCTAGTGACCCGTTAGCACATCCAGTGACAATTTTCTCAGACGTTCCTTTCTGCTCGTATAATAAAACCAAAAAACAAGAAATAGGATACTGGGTCCAGCTAACACACACTGATGCTAAAGTTCCTTGTTTTAACTTAACCTATAAGGTCAAGTTTAACAGGAGTATATCAGAAGTACTTCATAAGGTCACAGAGGAAAGGACATTCTAGCTTCCTTCAGAAGCTCAAAGGAGAAAAAAGGACCCCACTTGGACTTAAGTGATGACGGTTTATCTGATCCCTGGCTAAATGACACCAGACAACTAATTGTCAGCAATACTTATAACAACACGTGTGCCTGTGCTGGCTTTGGTTTGCTTGTGGAGGTGTGGAGGAGATCCATGGGCATATGGTTGTTCACACAGATGGCTTATGGATAGACAATGTTTGCTAGCTTACCTAGTCACCCCTTTCTCGATCCAAAAGTCCACTGACACTCAACACTGGACTAGTTTCTCAAAGCTGTTCTCCAGGACTACAAGGTCCATATTAGATAGCGATTCAATCTGGAAAGTTCTAGACAAGTATTTGCCCAGCAGACTACCAGACTCCACCAGGTATTTCTGTGGATGAAACTTTATACCTTGGTGTGGAGTTGTTGCCCGTGAACGCACGATTAGAAGTCTCTTACCTTAAGAATGAGAGTGAGGCAGGTCAAGCCGTAGCTGCCCATCAGATAGCACTAGATTCTTTAGCCAAAGTAAGTAGTGTTAGACAACAGAATTGCTCTAGACTACATTCTAGCTGAAGAAAGAGGTGTTTGTAGCTAACATATCATGTGGTGTCTACATTAACACTTCCTTGGAAGTAGAGACTCATTTAGATAGAATTAGACAACAGGCAACTTGGCTTTAACAAGTGTCACCACAAGAACTTGGGTTCAATCTCTTAATATTTTCTCATGGATCCCATTGGGAATAAGGTTCATATCTGAGGGACTAGTTAAACTAGGTATCATTTTGTGCTTGTTAGGATTTACGTTCGTTTTTGTCAAACTCTGTTTTTGCTGTATGTCTCGTATCCTTAAACCCACACCCCCAACGCATATGATGACCATTCAACATAAAGGCCCAGACCCCAGGACCCTGAATATTTGCAATTAAATGCAGAACAATTTCATTCCCCAAACCCAGATCTGCACCCCTAAGCAGCAGGAAGCAGTTAGAGCAGTTGTCACCATATTCCCCTCAAGACTGAGGGATATACGACACAAATGGGGGGATTTGTAACTGCAGGAGGCCAGTTTAACCCGGCCCTACTTGGGCATAACAGGATGTCAAGCTGTTTTGCGGATACAGCAGAACCACAGTTACAGGTCATGTCACCTGGGCCTGCATAGAGAAAGAAAACCTTAACTTAACCTCAAGTAGTCAGGACCAACGTTCCCTCCCCATGGAACCAGGAAGACTGGAACGTGACCAGAACCTGAACGGCAGAGGCTTTTCAGAAGTGAGGGGTCCATCGTCCAGGAAGATCCAGTGCCGAACTCTACCTTTCCACATCTTACCGTAAATGGCCAAGTTTAAAGCCCTCCAATCAAAATCTGCTCTACCAGCATTTCTACCCCCTGACCCCGGAAATTTCATGTCGAATCTTGGATCAGGGAGACAGATTTGAGCCTTGCTGCCTGTCTCCCTGCAGGTTGACCTCTCAATAGCGCTTTTTCTTTTCTCAAAAGCCGGTACCATAGTATTGGCTTCTATGCACCAGGGCCATATTTGCAATTCTGTTCTGTTATTTTAAAAAAGAGAGGGAGGCATGGTTTGGGAAACAGAGGTGCTATAGTACCTGAGGGGCTGTTAACCATTTCCTTTTCCAGCGATGAAGAGAGACTTCCAGAGGCTTAGGGGTCCGTTCACCTGTGGGAAAAGCACAGTGCTTAGACATGAATGGAAATTCTCATTAAAATTTTTTGACTATTTCAAAATACAGAAATATAGAGGAAGTTAATATAACAGACTACCATGCACTCATCACTCATTTAATAATTGGATATTTTGCTATCTTTAAATTTTTGTAAGATATATTTGTAAGGTATTCCCTTCCCTCATCTGTGTGCCCCACCCCAGTCAGGGTTAAAGACTATTGTGAAGTTATGTTAAGAATAAAATTTACACGATCCCTGTTCCATTTCATAATACTATTTTAAATTTCAAGCTTCTCAGATCCCTTTTTGCCCTCTTGGTGCGAGTTAATGGAATTATTTTGAAATTCCCTAAACCCCTTCTCTTTCTGAAGTTTCTGTGTGAGAAAAAGGCTTACCCTCCTTAGCTTCCCTGCTGAGCTACCAAATAAAGAACAAAGATATGCAAACGGTCATTAGACCCAGTGTTAGTGATCCTGAAAGACTTGTAAGGAACTCTTCTACTCATGATTTAGAGACTTTTAAGATTTAGAGGCAAAAGGAATCAAAATAACTACATTTTAATTCAAGTTCACATAACATAGAACCCATTAAAACCATTTGATCATTGAAATTGTTCTGCAAATTTGGGGTTTGACAGCTTTCTCCTGATTCTATCACAGTGTGAAATGGAAAACATTGTGTTTGAATTTCAATTTTATTTCACGTAAAACAGTTTTTTTAAACAAAAGACTACTACACTAAGTGGAATGCTTGTAAATCTTAATACTTGCTTCATAAGTCAGGTAATTATTACTTCTATTAACATTTTAAATTATAGAGATGTTCAATTTAGTGTAATTAATAAAACTAGTATGTTTATAAAATGGAAAATTCATACTATATTGCAAACTGATGCGGGCTCGGTGAGCCGAGGAGTTACTCAAAGTCTGGCAGTCGCGCTCCTTTATTCAGAGAATAGCATACAGTAGCATGGTGACAGGACCCCTGGGCAGTGAAGAGCTGCAAACATGGGTTGAGGCTAGGGCTAAATTTAAGGTATAGGTATGAGTTCTCTCTTTACATGACAAAGGAAAGATTTTGTAAAAAAGTCGTTAAAATGGTATCAGTGCACGTGGGGTCTGGTTATTGGGTGGTCCTATAACTTTGGATAGGAATCAGATCGAATCAGGTCAGGAAGTCCTGTGCTTCCTGGAGGATATCAGTATGTAGGGCAGGACACCTTGGGCTTCTCTCCCTGGGGCAGCCTTGATCCGCATAACAAACTATATTCCATGTATCTCAAAACTTTGATAGGATAGTGTTATACTTCCCTGACAAATTCTTGACATGAACGGAGATATTAACATTTACTAAAATGCCTAATTGACTTTGGTAATGCAGACTACTACAATACTCGAGTTATTAAATTTGCTTTCTGGAGTTTTCTAAAGACATAATTCAGAGAAAGAGGAAATAATGTTCATAGCCACTATACTATTTTCATGTGTTTTTGCGTATCTTATCCACATATCTGTTCATGACACAAGATGATTAAAATCAGTGTATTATAAACACTGACTTACGACTACATGCACGCATGTGTGTGTGTTCACATTACATCAAGTTACATTAAAGTTAACCGTTAAGGAAAATGATCCTCTCCAATGGAGAGCACAGGGCTGGTAAATCAGAGAAGAGCAATTAGGCTTGCTAAATATCCTCCCCTGGAACAGTGGAGGCTTTGGCATTGTCTCTCTCACACATACCAATTTTTTCTTTTGGAGGCTAAATCAAGAACTAAGAAAACAACGGGGTACCAAGAGGAAAGGCAGCACTCAGATTCAGCAAGCAGTGCCTGATTTACCTGCATCGGAGAAGGAAAGGAATTCAGTTGAGCTGGTAGCAAACCCATCCCTGAGAGGAGCGGAGGGGTGGGAGTGAGCCTTCAGCCACATGTACCACCACTATAGGGAAGATGTGGTGGAAACAGATGCTGCCCAAAGCCTGGAACCATCAGAGGCAGAATTAACACACACGACTGTGTGACAAAAATATCGAAGGATCTGGTAGAACTCCGGGGAGGGAGACTTATGGGCCATAGAAGCCAGAGAAAATGGGGGGGTAGGATCCTGCTTGCCCGATCTACTCCTGTTAAAGGAGCATGTAGCAAACACCCAAAGTATAAGAACCCAAGCAAAACCTACTCTAGGATAATGTGGAAGAAAGCTTTAAAAAATTTTATCCCAACGGGGCCTGGGATGGAAGCAGCGTCACGGCAGAGCTGGCTGTGGCTGCTCGTGATCTGGGTGTGTACATCTCTTTGTACTCAGCATTCAGCGATATCACGTGGGTAGCTTTAAATCAGCCAGAGGGGGAGAACTCACACTATGGAAACTGGCAAATGCTACAAATCAGAACTTTTCTTCCCTGGACAACTGCATTTATCAGCACACCAGTGGGTGAAAAGTCTTGGGATTTTTATAAATTTCTGATATAAGCCAGAATTTTTCTTAGGAAGCAAAGTGCTCTATCAATTTGATAACTTGACAATTTAAAAAAAAGAATATTTTCATGAAAGTAGGATTACATAAATTATTTAATTTTGGGGGGGCGGGTGGGTTCCAAAACCTGGGAATAAATGATTTTTAAAGAGATCCAATAAAAGAGAATCAGATAATACAGATATTTGGCAGTGTAACATCATGAATATTGAGTACAGGATTATGACTTTCTATGGGCCCAATGTTGGGACTGGAATCTCTTAATTAGCATCTTTAAGTCAATGACACTAAGATGACTTCTGTCAAAGACCCATTTACTAGAATGCTGTCACTGTGTTCTAACAAATTGCCCCTAGCCATGACCCACTGAAGCGGACTTTTCATGAACAATTGTTTAAACCTGCACATCTGCTGTCTACAGCAACCTATAGGATTGTATATATGCAAGAGCCAAGCCTCTCCATTTCCTTCTGCTTTAGATGACCCAGTGCAGAGTGACTGACAGCATCTTGGAAAAGACGTGTCTTCCTTAGTGGTCAGTGTTGAGAAGGCAATGCCCCTGGACTTGTTTGCCTTGCTGTTTTCTCACTAATTGTCATGCATCACTTAACAGGGCTACATTCTGATCAGGTGCTTTTGTCATTGTGCAAACATCGTAAAAAGTGTACCTTCACAAACCTAGATGGTATAGCCTACTACACACCCATACCATCTCGTATAGCCTATTGCCGCCAGCCTACAAACCTGTACAGCATACTGTACTGAATACTGCAGGCAACTGTGACAATGCTATTTGCATGTCTAAGCATATCTAAACACAGAAAAGCTACAGTAGAAACATGGGCTATGTCGACAAAAATAATCCATATCCAATCTATAAATGAAAATTTGGGTGAGTTTATTCTGAGCTTAAATCTGAGGATTATAACCCGGGAGAGTCTTTCCACAAAGGAACAGAGCACTCCAAAGAGGTGGGGGGGTGGGGTATACAGGTTCGTTATATACCCTCAAAGAGGATGTTTCACATATGATTGGAATGTCCCTTTTACAATAGTCGCGAGACTACTCTGTCGGCACAGTGATTGATGGAAATAGCAGGTAGGTCTTCTGTCTCGGTGAACACAGCAGGGTGGCAGTCTGTTGTCTCCAGCTGAGTGGTCACAGGTGAGCTGGGAGGTGAGTGCAGCAATCAGTTCCTAGCCTAAGGAAAAATGCTAATGTCGGGGGGAAGTTGCATCTTTATCTCAAGGACCTTTGTTCTGGCCATAGGAAATGTCTAAGCAGATATACAATGCGTGCTCAATAGCCAGTCAGGCCCTTTTGGAGGAAAAAAAAGAAGTCAGGCCGAATTAGGTTTATACCAAATGGCTTCCTCATATACTCCAATATATCCTATTGCTTGCCATTTTTATTTGTCAGGCTAAGAGGTAAAAAGTGGAACACCTGTATAGGGCACCTACCCTGAATGGAGCTCGCAGAACTGGAAGTTGCCCTGGGTAGGGAGTGAGTGAGTGGTGACTGAAGGCCTGGGACATTATTGTACAATACTGTGGGCTTTATACTACCTTAGGCTTTAGAACACTGGACAATTAGGCTACACTAAATTGATCAAAAATATTTAATAAATCAACAGCTTACCATAACTTTATAAATTTAACTTTTGGACTCTTGTAATAACACAGCTTAAAACACAGACACGTTGTACAGTTGTACAAATACACTTTATATCCTTATTTCATAAGCTTTCTGGTTTTAAGATTCTTCTTACTTTTTAAACTTTTTTTGTTAAAAACTAAGACACGAACATACACATTAGCCTACACATGGCCAGGATCATCAGTATCACTGTCTTCTACCTCCATATTTGTCCCACTGGAAGGTCTTCAGGGGCAATCACATGCATGGAGCTGTCACATCCTGTGGCAACGCCTTCTTCTAGAATACCTCCTGAGGGACTTCCCCGAGGCTCTTCGTGAGGAGGTGTCACTCTTTTCAGAAATATGTCCGTGGTGGTTTTCTTGGTTTCTTTTTTTCACCATAGATTTGCTTATCAGCAGATAAAGGAGATTTTAAAGTCTACAAAAGCTACTGCTAGACCCTTCACTGTGAATTTTCTTGGGCCTTCTTTTTCCTTTTCCTGCAGCTTCCTTCTCTCTTGCCTCTTCAGCTGTGCGTTCTTGTTCCAGTTCCAATAACTCCCCATTAGTCAGATCCTCAGGAAGCACCTGGAGGGGCTCCTCAGCGTCATCCTCATCCACACCCGGGTTAAAGCTGTTTGCCATCTCAACCACAGCCTTTTTTGCACCCTCCTCATCCTTGGCAAATCCTTTGAGAATCTCTTGAGTGTCTTATTCCAGATGCATTCAGGCACTCCTTGGTGACATCACCTCAAGCCCAAGCAAGGTTCTTGATGCAGTCATAGCTGTGGTAATCCTTCCAGAACTGCATCAGTGTCTTCTCAGTTTCAGCAATAGACTGGGCAAAGGTCCTCCTGAGGTCGTAGGCCTTAAAAGCCACTATAACTCCTTGATCCAGGAGCTGGGTCAAAAGGTGGTATTTGGAGGGAGAAACATCACTTTGATATTGGGATGAAGATCACCAATAAAAGGAGGATGTCTTGGAGCTTTATCAACAATAAGGAAAATCTTGAAACGTATGTTATTCTCCAAACAGTACTTTTCCATTCCCCTGGCATAGCAATTCAGAAGGTCATCTTGTAAGAAGAGCTGAGTCACCCATGACTTCTTAACTGCTCCTATAGTCCACTGGCAGTGTATGCTTGCTGATATGCTTGAAGGCCTTGGGGTTCTCACTGTGCCAAATTACAAAGGGTTCCAAATTGTAGCCTGCAACATTGCCCTCAAGCAAAACCATTATCCTGTCCTTAAAAGCCTTGAAACATGGCGTTGACTTGGCCTCCTTATGGATGAAAGTCCTTTGAGTCATCTGTTTCCAGAACAGGGAGGTTTTATTCATACTGAATATTTGCTCTGGCAAGTAATTTTCCTCCACAATCAGCTTTTGTAGAGTTTCCAAAAATTCTTCAGCTGCCTTCACATCAGCACTCACAGACTCACCACTCACTTTCACATTAGATAATGAATAACGATTTTTGAATTATTTAAATGACGATAGCCAGCAGTAAATTCAACATCACAGTTGGGTCCAGCCTTTTCTTTCAACAGCACAAACTTTGTGCTTTGGCCATGACTGTCATGGTGCTGAGGGACATTTTTCTGTGTCTGGCCTTCAATCCAGATCATTAGAATTTTCTCCATGTCTGATATAGGCCCTTCTTGAATTTATTAGTCTCGTTGCCTTCAATGAAGCAGATCCCTTGACAGCTTCTGTCACTTTGTTCCTGTTCTTCAAGATTGTAGCTATGGTGGAATGGGACATGCCTGACAGGCAAACAACAACCATCACTGATTTTCCACCTTCATAGTCCTTAATCACTTTTAATTTCATTTCCTGGTCAGTCACTGGATGTGGCCTCTTACTTGCAATGTTGGCAGTGAATTTTGTATGCTTAGGGGCTATGAAGAACTAAACAAGATTAACTCAAGCACAGGAGAAAATGATACCAGTAAGAGATGCAGTAAACATGAGCTGTATGAGGCTGCTGCCGGCGTTAACACAGCATATTGTTTAAAACACTCTAAAACAATCATGAATACTATAGTACATCAAACACATAAGTCAGTAACAGTCCTTTATTATCAAGTGTTATGTACTCTACATAATTGTATGTGATGTACTTTAATACAACTGGAAGTGCAGTAGGCTTGTTCACACCAGCAGCACCAGAAACATGTGAGTAATGCATTGTGCTACGACGTTACTATGGCTATGATGTCATTAATAGAAATTGTTCAGATCCATAATAATCTGATGGGACCACCACCATATATGTGGTTTGTTGTTGACCAAAGCATTGTTACGTGGCACAGGATTGTACCTAAGTCAGGCCAAACTAGGATAATCTCCCTATTGGTTTAAACTCACCTGATATGGGAACTTAAATACATTTGAAAAATCCATCACCTTTGCTAAACAAGGTAATCTAATTATGATCATGACATCAGGGAGCAGAGATCCTGGGGCCGTCTTAGAATTTTGCATACAACACCAACTGTTCCCTGATAATATCATCTTTACTTAGCCATGACAGTGGTGAATACCACACCTCGTGCTATCTAGGGGAAAAAGAACTGGGGCAATATATGGGGTATAAGAAGATGGTAAATAAGAAGGCCACCTGAGACAGTACATTGACACAGACAGAGACTTGGAAATGACCCGACTGATTGAACCACCACACTCCCAAAGAAATCCTGTCAGCAGAGCCAAAGTGTGCCATCTGCACTGCACATCTTTAGGTCCTGGAATTTTTGATGCTTATGACCCCAATATGCCCAAGTCTTCTGGTATCTGGAGGGGCTGATGCCTCTATTTGGAATTCATCAGGGGATTCTCCACCTCAGGATGGCCAGCAGACTGGGGATCTCTGGACCTTGCTGGGTTCTCCATTTTCTGAGACATAGATAAGTTCGTGCAACCCTACCCCTTGCCCAGGAAAGATGATCCCAGCATCCCAGGGAGGATCTCTTCTCCAGTGCACACCTGAGAGGAACAAGCACTAATCTTCACTATGGCTTCTGATCCAGCTCTGCAAATCCCGACAATGTCTGTGGTTAACAGAATGACATACCCAAACAACTTTAATGGGTAGATTTTAATGTAAACAGACGAGAGCCTGGGGATTTATCTTTTCTTATTAGAAAAAAGTTTTCCCTTCTTTATTCAATGCCCACATTTTGCCTTCTCTTAGAATGCCTCTACACCCTAGTTTCTCCATCAGACAACCATCAGGTGATTTGGGATCAACTGCAGAAACCAGACATTTTTCCCTGGCTCCCACCTTGCCTCAGGTTGAGCTTAGGTCAATAAAAGCACCAGAACCAAAGTCAATACAACTTAAGATTTCCTGTTTCCCATGTTTCTCTTTCAATACTCATGCAGATTATCTACTGTGACATTTCTGTGGGTTCCCAGCCTCTAGATGGCCCTAAGTATCACGAGAACGTCATCAAGCAGAGAATTTTCCTGCTTCACACTCCCTCATTTCTCCTTTACCCACTTACCTGAACAAGCAGAATCAGGGCTGGTTCCATTGAAGGGGTCACACCTGTATCAATATCTCGAGATAATCATATTAGTAGCTTAACATGAGGCCCTCAGGGCAGGGGGAAGAATGCGTTCTTTGTCAAAGGTAGGATCTACCAGTGGGTCAGTCCATACCACATGGACATCCTGGGTCCTGAATCTTAGCTCTTTACCATCCCAAAGAGATCCCATGGCAGAGAAGGCTTAACACCTGTGATCCAGTAGCCATGGGTGTGCATGTCTTGGGAAGAAGATCTATTTGACCCAGACCCACAAAAATACTGCCCACGTAATCAACATTCACTGAGAATTCTCTACGTTGGAGCATGCGTCTCTTCCAGGGTAGCTGTGTAAGTAAGACAACTCTCCTGGACCATCCCAAACATGCAGAGAAGGATGGACTCCACTTTTGAAATGTATGAACAAGAATATTAGGTAGACAAAAGATCAAAATTTTATCCAACAAGTGCTCAGGTGGTGAGCATCTATCCCTACTTCCCAGCCCCCACCACCACCCACACACACACACAGACCTGTGGACAGAAGTCAAAGCTTTAGAAGGACACCTCTTTGAACATCAGCGCAGGGTTAGTCAGGCCATGCCCCTAGGTCAGGCTCTGCCAAGATTTGCAAATAAGTAGTGGAAAAACATCTCAGTCTCCCTTCTGAGGCAAACATGGGACTTTCAAAAGGGAAAACAAGATGATGTCATTTCATATAATGGGAGCTGAAGGCGAAGGTGGAATGTCAGAGAACAGATTATGATATTTTGAAAAGATTGTAAATTGTTCAAAGACAATGTTTTCCAGCAAGCAAATAGGCAATGCAACCTCCATTCCCTGTATGGGCAAGACAAAAGTCTCTCCCAGATACAGCTGTTTCTTCCTAACCCTGAGCTGCCTTCAATTCCAGCTTACAACTGGTGTCTGAAAGCCACACAATTGGAATACGTGATCACGAGTAGGTGTTTTGGAAGGACCAACATGGACATAATACAGTACATGTTTTTCCACTCTGTAGGTTACAAACACCCTACTCCACACCTCCAGGACCATTTTCTCCCATCAAATGTAGCTCAGGGCTGTGAATAGGAAGCACCTCTTTGCTACGATGGCCCAGCCCAGTGGACACCTCTTAGAAGATGCACCAGCAAGAACCCTCAAGGACAATCTTCCTCTTTTGCTCTGCCCATTCCTACAGGGGTTGAGTCTCATCTTCAGTGAGTAATAAGGATAATGGGGCAGGATGGGAGGCCACTTCCTTTAAAAGGGCATGATCCCAGTTGACTCATGAAGAACTCAGGTGCTCCAGTAAGATAAGTTACAGGAATACAAGCTCCTCTGTGGCCCCTCCATCAGAGCAGCTATGATACTTCCATGAAAGTAAGTTGGTGGGAGGGGAGGTGTCAAAAATCTATAGACAAGGGAGAACTCTAGGGACAAACAACTTTCAGCAAGCAAGGACAATCTAAAGTCTTAGAATTCCCCAGGTCCTATTCAGTGGAAATTCCTAACCAGAGAGGAGAAACATTGCAAAGGACTTTGCATAACAAAGAACAGGAAGGATGCAAAAATAAAGAGCAGGAGAGGTGAGGAAGGGCAGCTACATCAAAACAACAAGGATAAATTCGGGGAGCGCTACCGCCAACTGCTCCTTGTATGAGCAGTTCAGGGTGAGATGGGTCTTCCTGCAACTGTCCAATGAGGGAAAGAGGAAACTCTCACTGCCTGAAAGATGGTGCTTTGAATTGTTGGTAAGTAGAAAACACAAGGACATCCTATGTCACACTCCACACAAGAAGAAAACCTCTATCTGATGGCACATCCCACGTAGTCTAAGGGGATAAAATCCTGAGGGCCAACGGATGGGCCCAGGGGTTTCTCCAGCACAAGTGATATCATCTCACTGCTCCAACAGACACACTCCCCCTGGGCACATGGTCCCCAGATGCTCAGTTCTGGAGAAACAGTCAACACCAGCCCTGTCTTCTCAATAGCTAACAGGAAGGGGCTCCCCAACACTGAACTCCCCCCCGGATCGTGATGATCAGGACTGTGTGCTGTGCAGAGATGACTCAAAACTGCTCTTATCTATGTAAAGTTTTATCATCTTTAAATGATGCAGCCATTTCTTCTATTTCTTCTGCGTGGTTCCCATGGTCATTCACAGACTTCTTTGTGTCAGGTCATAGAGCCTCAGTTGCCCAGCAGAAGCATTTCAGGAGACCATCCCTAGGGATGTGGCTTCATGATGACTCGAGGGTCTGGAAGTGAGCCCCTGCTCTTACCTTCCTGCTGTCACCTGCAGCCTCCATGCCAGCTTTGCACAGAGGAGTAGGACTCCTGTCTTCCACTGCCAGAGATTTCAGAGACACAAAGGTGATTATGCATTGTATTAATTTTGACTCTACCACCTCCTTCAGCCTATGCAAAGGAAGAATCAACTTCCGTTCTGACAGTGCACTGGTCTAAACATCACAGTGACCAGTCACCAGCAATAGAATCCAGGAACTAGGGATTAGTCATGAGGAAGATGAACTAGCCTGAGTAAACCTAGACTTGACAAGCATCCATCCTTGGACATTGAAGTTTGAGATGCAAGGAAAGGTCAGCAAATAAATGACAAAAACATCACCTGGAACCGGTTGATGGCAATGATAGGAGCATACCCAGATGAGACATTATCATAAAAGCCCCTAAGAAAAAAGACAATCTCTTTATTAAATTCTATACTCTCAGGAAGGAAGAGAAATTCAGAACAGATATGAGGAGCCAATTTTAAATCCAGATATTTTCATGGTGCAAATCAAATACCCCCAGAGGAGCCCTGTCCAGGACAAAAAAAAAAAAACCCTCTTCAGGTGTGGTCTGGACACAGAGTTCCCCAGGCTCACATAAGTCTCATCCCTGAGGACCAAGTGGACTTTTAAATACACTGGGGGCTCCTCAAACTTTACTGCCAGAGATGTGATGGGAGTGATTCTGCTCAGAGACAGCCAGTGAAAGCGTGCTTCACACTAGCTTGTGGGTCAGCAGAGCGGCCCAGAGAAATGGAACCCTTGTCACCATGCACCATCAAAGCAAGTCTGCCTGACAGTCTGAAAATTATCTATTTCCTCCCATGGCACCCATCCTCCAGGAACTCAGAAGCATATCACCAAGCACAACCAGACGGGAAGGCACAAGCATAGCACAAATGCCAACCCTACGCAAAGGAAGAATCAATTTCCATTCTGACAGTGCACTGGTATAATATGACACTCACTTTTACTTCACAGAGGGTGGCACCATGGTGACTGGAACAGTTATAGAACTCTGCTCCGTGTTTCCAGACTGAGCCCTGGCTGCCTAGAGCAGAAAGTGCTGCTGCTGACCAAGATCAGCACTGCCTTCACAATGCCTGAGTCAATCACGTTGCTGATGGTGCCAAAGGCATCAAGAAAAACTTAGGGGTGTCTGGCTGCAGCCTTCCTGCATTCGACCTGCGCTTCCTGTGTGTACTGTCCAGCAGGCACACACGACACATTGCAGACAGCATTCCGTCCACTTAGCATATTGATTTACATTCTATTAATAGATTAATTAAAGGAACAATTAATAGAATAGATCTCCATTCTATGGGTGGACCACACTTCAACAGGGTGGACATCTGATACATGTTTGGGGATAATCTTGTCCCCCCAAAATATATTTTTGGATAGAATAACCAAAACCAATGGAAACAAGCCCACAGATGAGAGAAGGCTGTCACCCTGAAGGTACCACCACATTAAGATACTGAAACCATGGCCCACGAAGGCATTGGGGGATGATCTCCTGGGCAGTGTGAAGGGCCAGAGATCTGAGAGTTCAAGGTGTGCAAACCTTGGGGGAAGACCTGAGTGACCCAAGCTGCAGTAAGGAAAATCTGGCATATGAGGTACATCTAATTTATGTCCTGAAATGATCCATTCTCATCTGGGTTTTTTTGGCATAAAATAGCGATTTTCAGAGAGGCAATCATCCTTTAAATACAATGAGGTTAATGATTGTTATCTTTGCCACCCAAAACGTATACAGGCAGGCTTTGCAGAAGGCAGAGGTAGGGATAAGTCTGGATGGGATCTAGGGGCTGCGTAAAGACACGCTTCCCAGGAGAGGGAAAAAGTCTCCATCACAGGAAGATGCATGCGGCTGCACTACTTCAGCAGGAAGTGAACCTGTCCCTCTTCTGCTAAAAGGGGAATCCAGGAGGTTCACCTTCCTTCTGGAAAGACAGGCTGCTTTATGCCACACCCTCACCTTCCTGGCCCCCTTGTTCCACAGGGGTTCCTTTGAGGACAGAGGTAACTATAAACAATGTGGCAGACAGTGGATAAATGACCAGACTCTTGTCACTCAGCAGAGTGAATTCTGAGATACATTCCACATGGATCCTCAGATGGTCCCCAGGGGGACTGAGCCCCATCACCTCTATAGGTGACCAGCTCAACAATACCCAATTCAGTGGGGCTGTTCCCAACACCTCATCTCTGGTTCACCACTCCCTTCCCTGAGCTCCCTGGGATCACTGCCAAATCAAGTACCAAAAAAATAGACAGTTAAAGGGACCACGGAAGAAGTTCATGTCCAAATCCTCAGACTCTTGAACATGTCTTGTTAAATGGCAAGAGGGAATTAAGGTGGATGGAATTAAGGTTGCTAATCAGCTGACCTTAAATTAAGGAGATTATCTACGTAGGCACCATGTAGTAACAAGGGTGATTAAAGTGACAAAGTAGAAGAGGGATTCAGAAGTGGAGGTGAGAGTCAAAGAGATTTCAGGATGCAAGGTCACCGTTGAAAGGATAAAGAATTGCTGACTCTGAAGACCAAGAAAAAGCCCAAGACAGGGAATGCAGGAGGCCTCCAGAAGGTGGATAGGGCAGGAAAGCTGTCTTCTAGAAAACCAGAAGGAACAACTCTGTAAACACCTGATTTTATCCAAGTGACACCCATTTCAAACTCTGCCCCCCAAAACTGAAAGCTAAAATAAATTCTGATTTAAGCAGAAACTTGGTGGTCATCTGCTACAGCAGCAGTAAGAAATGCATACAGTATTCAAGGGCATCCATACCAACTCACTGAGGTTTTATATTTCAAAACATAAGATTCATAAGTATTCTTTCCCTGGCAGCAATGATCAAGAACATAGTGACAAAAAGAATATGTCTTCTTAGTATCTCAACCTGTCATATTGAAAGAATATTATAACCAGTGTTCATTTAATTTAAACTTCAAAGGTAGAGCCGTAAATGACTCCGAACACTTATATTACTAAAACTACCCCAGAAACAATAGAAGTTATCTAGATTTCCTATGAAAGGAACTAAATATATATTTGTAATCTTCCCACAAAGTATTCTCTGGGCTCAAGACTTCCTTCCTGGATTCTACCATGGGTTCAGAGAAATGTACTAACCATACACAAATTATTCCCTTGAAATGAAAATGCCTGAAAATTTTCCAAAAGGGTGCTCTCCCTTGATGACCAAGGGGAGTGACTAAGATGCTGGTCACGTTCTCAACTTCTCCAGCAAGTCTTCTGAGAACCAGCTCTGCACCTTGTCTATCATCCCCCAGGACAGCCATTCTAAAGGCTCCCTGGATCACTGCCCCCAAAACATCAGCAAATACAAACCCGAAAGGACTAAGCCCAGGAAAGCAAGACCAGCAGTTGTTTGCACATCGCAGAAGGTAGCGCTGCCTCACACTTTGTCCCATAAGCCTGGCAGGCCCAGGATTTCGACACCCAGGTGATGAGATTGACTTAGAATCCCACTCCTTGGGTGGAGGAAACTGAGCCCTTCCTGCCCAGAGGAGAAGTGGTGGTGTTGATCACGGTCAGCACTGGTGTTGATATAATTGACACTGATGACACATCAGCTCCCAGGCACCAGAGAGGATGACTTCTCCTCTCTGGAGTCTACAAGGAAGAAAGAGAAAACATTTCTTAGGCTCTCAAACTTGGATCCTGCTTAGCGGTCACATAAGGGTGGGAGTCTCATACCAGCCCCTCTAAACCTGACAAGGCAGCTGTTCTCTAACCATAAGAGAAGGGTTTGGTTTTAGGTCTCTCTACATATAGGTTCCCCAGTCCTGAGGGAGGTGAATGTCAGAGGCAGGTTGGGGAACAGCATCACAGTCCCTGTCAGGAGTGGCCTTCAGTTCACCATGGACTCACGTCTGCCACTGGGCTGCTGAGAAGTTTGTGGCTCCAGGCTGTGGAATTCTCCCGCATGCTGGGGCAACTAGAATGAATGATAATGTTAATGTGAAACTTGAAGCGCCTCTCAGGACAGAGCTGCTCTGTGGAAGCTGAGCGGTGACCAGCTCAAGATCCCACAGGATGCTCCATCAGCCACGTGGCTGCAAGGAGTCACCTGGCTTTTATGAGAGTCAACCTGTGTTACCAGTTACAAAAGAAACAGGGTATTTTGGTCCATATTACTGAAGTATCTTTTATATCTACAATGATGTATCTGATTCTGTTGGGAATTCCTCAATATATCGGATCATATTTACTGGCCTGTTTTCAGGACCTGGACAATAGGCCCTCAGCCCAACTGGACAGTCACAAACCAAAGACATCACACAGTGGGCTACTGTCCAGGCAGACTCACTGCTTATGCAGATGTACAGCCACAGCAACCAGAATCACAGCTGAAAGTGCCCATCTCTCTGGGGACATAACTTTATGCCCCGAATGCAGTACATATGGGAGAAACTCGGATCTGGCTACATATATCCTCTGGAGTGAGGGAGACCCCAGTGGGCTTGGCTCCATGACAGTCTTGACTGAGCCAATCTAGGAGGAACCCTGAGTCTGAAATGAGGCCCCCAGCCCTTGAACATCAGAGGAAAAGAATGCCTATATTCCGCGTTATTAAGAACACAGTTTTAATAATCTCTTATGTTTCCACTCTCTGTGTAATTACAGGGGAAAAAATAGAGGGTAGTAAGGAAAAGGAACAGAATATTTTCAATTCAGTCCCTCAGACACCCCTTTCTCAGTGTCCCCACCCCACCCCGCCAGAGTATAGAGGAAGAGATAGACTTTGAGGCTTTGGGGTTCACGTTTCCTCCATGGTTCTTGACTAGTGTTCAAACACCTATGGACCCACATTCTCAGAGTACCACCCCCAGTGGAAAAAGGATCCCACATGTCAAAGAGGCCATCACTTGAAGCTTCCACCCCTTTGAGATACTGAACTTAGAAGCATGAAAGTGAACACTGGAGGCGGGATTGCATGGCAGTGCAACGAAGCCCAGAGATCTGAGACCCCAGTGTGCCAGCCTTGGGGGCAAGCCCAGAGTGGCCCATCCCCCAGTACACACTGCCTACGTAATCAACACCCTGTGTCTGGGGATAATTGAGAGCTAAAATCTTGTTCACAGTGTACAGAAGTTGAGAAGCCTCACACGGATCATGTCAAATGACATGGAGGGAAGGACCCCAGTCCTGACACACAAGAAAAAAGTATCAGGCACACAATTAAAGGACATCTTAGGCTGTGACACGGGGGGATTGGCAGGAGAAGTTCACACAAAACCTTCGTAGACACCAGTGGGAAAGTCCAAGCCAAGTAAGCTTGGGAGGGTTTGACTTGGTCCATCAGCACAGCCTCAAAACCACTGTGACCAGGGGTTCGACATCGAAATGCTTGTCCTTCTGACTTCACTGCATATACACTTCACTCTTGCTTCTGATTCAGTCCTGGAGTTTCAGAGGAGAAGGCAGCATTTCCCAGGCCCTCAGGCCAGGCTTCATTAGAAATCATGGGACTAAATAAAGATAAATGGCAGAGGATGAAATTTAAATTCTTCCCTCCACAGAAAGAGCATAAATTGATCATATTCAAGAGAGAAGGAGATAGTCCTTAGAATCTTAAGAACTGAAAAGGATCACTTACCAAACTAAAAGGTAATAAGATAGTATTTGTCAGATCACGTTCTTCCCTAAATGACAGGAATATAATGAATCGTGTACCATTCAAATGCAGTAACTGACATTAAATTATTCATAAAGGAATGGAGATCTAAAGCCTCAGTGTCTGTTCCATTGCAACGTAGGAAAGGAACATTGCAGATTTCTCCCACAGAATCTTTCTTCAAAACTCATTACATTCATGTCAGATTGAATTTTAGATAACACAACACAGTGTTATATTCTTGATAGAAGAGAATTATATTTGGAAAGACAAAGTAAAACCACTCAGATTCCAAGGAAAGCAAATTCATCTCCAGTAATCAGAATTCTAAGGAATGATTCCGGCAGACATTACTGAGAGGCAGTGATGGGACAAGGCACTAAATGGGATTAGGGGCCTATAAATTTTTCTTGAGAGGAAAAAGACACCATCACAAGAAGATGAATGTCAGAGACACAAACTATGGAATAGTTACAACCCTGCTGCAGTGGGACTGGTCTGACCCTTTCCTGCTGAATGGTACCCAGGAAGTTTGGCATTTTTCTGGAATGAGTGGCAAGTGTGGTAGAGGCTGGCGTGCTCTATGACACATCCTCTGGACTCTTGTTTCAGCACAAAACAGCAGTGAGGGTATTTTAGTTGAAAGGAGACAGTAAAACTTAATCACAGGAAAGAAACAAGACAAATCTCTCTTGCCTTTCTTGGCAAGCGTGGAGTCCTCACTCCTGGATGTGAGGACCCTCAGGCAAACTCTGAGCCACTTCCCATTCCACCTGGGTGGGTAGTGTCTGAAGACCACACATTCTAGGTGATAGCAGAATGGGTGCTCTGTAGGGACAGACACATTCAATGATAAGTGCCCGAGCTGCGGGTTAAAGACAATCTTCTACCTCTGGGACCATCTGCTCCCTTCAAATGCAGCTCAGGGCCATGAATGGGAGAGCAGATGTTTGCTGGGATGTCTCAGTCAAGTGGACACCTCATAGAAATGCACCAGCAGGAGCACTCGGGACCCACTCCTCTGCGTTTGTGCTGCCATTCATAGAAGGAGTCACTGTCATCAGTAAGGAGGACACTGGAAGAGGGAGGAGAAACCACCTCTTTTTAAAGGGAACAGTCTTGAAGATCAGGTACCACTTTGCTCAGCTCCATGATCAGTCCTTATTTACCTGACCTCAGCTAACTGAGGACAGCAGGGACTTCATACACATTGTCTCGTGAGGAACCCACGTGACCCTGTAAGTTATAGGACTCATCGTCCTTACCATGTGGCTCTCCATAAGTCAGCTAGATGTACACTCATTCGCTCCATCAGGCAGCAGAGGGAAGCTTAGAAAAAGGAAGCTCAAGCAGAAATCCACTACACCCCTCTCATCCCTCCTTGCAGAGGTTTGTTGTTGTTGTTGTTTTTAAATAAAGATTTCCCTCTAAACCAGTCCGCTAGGACTTCAGGGTAAGGAATACATCCCTCGTGTCCAGTTTGGTAGGGATTGCTGGATACATATGTGAGAGGAAACAGGCCTCTTCACCAGTACTGTCTTCTGCAGAGATACAATTTACTCTGTCCTATCTACGTTTTTTTTTCATTCTGAGTGGGTGGTGATCATAACCTCTCTCTTATGAGGAAGAATTCTAGAAACAGCTCTTCATGGTCCACAACCTAGACACACAAAATTCTCCATATCCTACTTGAGGGAACCTCACAAGACAGCAGTAACAATGCCAAGGTGATATCAATAATAGAGAACAGCCACATCAAAATGGAAAGGAAAATAAATGTTTGTCATTAGTGCCAACCTCTTATCGTATGAGTCATTGAGGTCAGCGTGATGTACATCTTAAAGAGAAAAAAATACTCAAGACCAATTAGAGAGTAATGCTCTGAAAATGGTTGTAGCAGAAACTAACCCGTCATGAGTAATTTTTTAAACTATGAGGGTCACTTGTAATTGATGAAATGTAGCAGGAGATGGACAAGATTAAAATCCTGAGATCTCATATGTGGGCCCAGAGGATTATCCAGGACCAGGAGACGTCATCTTGCTTACCTAAGCCAAGGGAGGATTAGCTTTCCATCTTGTGTTTCAAAATATAAAGTTGCTCAAGTCTTCTGTCTCAACTGGTAGAGTCAAGGAGCAAGGTCATGAAGGTCCCATCACTTACCATTATGCCTCAGAACCCCAGAGTAGGAAGAATGTAGTTATGGACCTAGCTAAGGGGGAGAGCAGGGAAATCAACTTCATGCAGTTGACTCTGGGGACTCACAGGCCCGTGTCAGGGAAGTCATGGGCATACGGGCCCGTCTGCAGGGCCCTTCTCAAGTCAGCTACCCCACAGCCTTCTCCTGGACCAGGCAGCACAGGGCAGATAACTTAACTACAGGAGGCCAAAGCAGAAGTCCACAGGGAACAAAAGACCACGTACTAGTCAGATGCCGGGGCAAGGCATAGAACCTGAATTTGTTCACTGTGTGACATTATGCTTATGTAGAGCAGGAAATGGGCCTCCTCACAGACGTCTTTTTGAAGGGTCTTTTTTGACTTCTCATCTACCTTATATTGATCAGGGTGGGGGAAGTGGAGGCAGAATGGTCATCATATCCTCTTCTCTCCAACAAAGGAGAGATCCAAGAATTAATCACCAACCAGGAACTAAAAGCGTATATTTCTCCATTTCCTATTTTGAGGAGACAACAGTGATGTCGCCAAGGTACTTTCAAGAATGAAGAGCAGATAAATGGAAAGACGACAAGGAAGAGTAGGTCTTGACAAGGAAACTATGACAAGGAAACTTGACAAGGAAAAACTATGTAGCGGTTGAGGCCCAGTCAAGGGCACCCGGTGCAGTTCTGCTCAGACACGGGAGGGCAGCTCCACCCAGCTGACTCGGCACGGCGTCAACAGCTCGGGAAACCCTGGAGGAGGTGAGGCTGAGAAAGGCTTTAGCGAAGGTGTTTTGTCTGTAGCTGTATGACAGGATTGCCACCAATGTAGTGGCTAAAACCAATGCCCCTTTACTATACCAAAGTTTCTGTAGCTCAGATATCTGGGCACAGCTTAACCGGGATCTCCTCTGGGTCTCACAAGAGGCAAACGAAGGTGATACCTGAGCTACATTCCATCTAGAGGATGAACTAGCCAAGATGTCACTTCCAAGTTCGCTCAGTTGGCAGAACTCATTTCCTTGTGACAGTCACCTCAGTCTAAGCCAGAAAAGGAGAGCGAGTCTCAGTAGATATTGGAGTCTCTTCGGTCAGAAGGAACTAAAATCTCTTTAAAGGACTTCTAAATTAAACCAGGACCACCCAGGATAATCTCCCTTTTGAATACAAACTCACCTGATTTAGGATCTCAATTACATCTGGAAAACCCCTCACCCTTGCCATACAAGGTAATTTAATTGTGGTCCTAACAGCCCAGAATGGAAACCCTGGTGTCATCTTAGAATTCTGCATGCAATACCAAGATTGCCCTGTTAATATGAGGCAAGATGTGGGGTATAGAAAGGTGGTGACTTCAAAGGATATCTGACAAAGTAAATTGAGGCAGAAAAACTTAGAGGTGACCCAGGTGATTGAACTATTGCATTCTCAAAAAAAGTGTTTGTCAGCAGAGCCAAAGTGTGCCCATCTGGGCTGCACAGTCTTACAGCTGTAGAGCACTGAAAGATGTATTCAGCCAGCCCATAGACCCAGGTCGGGCTGCCTGGAGAAACTGGCATTAACTCTCAACCTTGACAGGCTGGTAATTCAAGCATTGCTGCATCAAATGGAGAAAGCAGTGGCAAAAAATTGAGCAACGGCCATCGTCAAAAGGACCAACCAGATCAATTCAGTGGTGGAGGAGGAAGTTCCCTTATATAGAACTGCTTCCAACATTCACCACTGAGTCCTGGAATTTCCAATGCCTATGATCCTGCTATGCCCACATCTTCTGGTATCTGCCCAGGCTGATGCCTCTAATTTGGAAATCATCATGGGATTCTCCACCTCAGGATGACCAGCAGATGTTTCTGGGGTGCTCTGGATCTTGTAGGGTCTTCATTTTCTGAGACAGATCACTTTGTGAAACCTTACTTTCCCCAGGGAAGATGGCCCAAGCATCCCAGGTAGGATCTCTTCCCCAGTATCCCACCTGATAGGAGCAGGCACCAATCTTCAGTATGTATTCTGATACAGCTCAGCAAATCTTGATGAAGCACTGTCATCAAAAGAATGACAATTCTGAACATCTTCAATGTGTACTTCTTAAGTCTAAACAGAACAGAGCTCAGGGAATTACGTTTTACTATAAGAAAAACTTTTCCCACCTCACCGCCTACTCCACACACAGACTTCTGGACAGAAGTCAAAACAATGCCATTTTGGAAAGACTCCCCTTAGAGCATCAGCGCAGGGGCCAGTCAGACCATACCACTAGGTTAGGCTCTGCCAAGATTCGTGTATAGAGAAAGTGTCAGTCTCTCCCCTGACTTGACCATGGAGTTTCAAATGAAAGAACAGGATGGCCTCATTAGAAACAATGGGAGCCGAAAAACAAGGTAGCATGTCAGAGGACAAACTACAACCTTTCCTTTCAAAATAACACAGATTATTCAAATACGAATTAGTTTCAGGAAGACAACAAGGCAATGCAACCTCCATTCCCTGTATGGGCAAGCTGAAACCCTCTCTCCCTGATCAGGCTGTCTTTCCTCCTAACACTAAGCTGCCTTCAATATCATCTTGTATGCTTTTCAGATACCAATTGCCATCTCAAGACACATGAAAATGAGTGTTTGGAGGGACCAAGATGGACAACTACTGTATGTTTCCCTGATCTGGAGGTTACAAGCACCCTTCTCCACCTCCAGGAACATCTCCCATCAAATGTAGCTGAGGGCCATGAATAGGAAGCCTCTTTGCTGGGGTGTCCTAGCCCAGTGGACGTCTTTTAGAAAATGCACCTGAAACAATGCTCAAGGAACATTTCTCTGTTTTTGCTCTGCCATTCCTAGGGGGTTGGCGCTTAGCCTCAAAGACAGCTACAAGGATAATGGAAAGAAGAGAGGAAGCCACCTCTTTTAAAAGCTCATAATCACAAAGGTCAGATGTCATTTCTTCTCTCACCAAATGGTCAGTAGTATGTAGTTATGTGACAGGAGTTAATTGAAGTAAACCAGGTAAATCGTCTTACTCAAGTTGCCTCATGAGGGACTCAGGTGCTCCCATGAGACAAGTTACAGGAACACAAGCTCCTTCTCTGTGGACCCTCCTCAGGGCAGCTACCTGTAAGAACTTCTCCTGAATCAGGCAGCACACAGATTAGCAAAAAAGGCTTTCAAAGCAGAAATCAAAATGAGAAAAAGCCACATACCACCATCTCATCTTCCAGACATGCCTAACATTTGTCCTTTCAAAGACAGTCTCCTAAGATTTAGGAGAAGGGGTGTAAGGCCCAAGCCCCCATCAGTGGAGGAGAGTAGAGCTTGAGGGAAGGAGAAAGCAGGTCTCTCTACCAGCACTACCTCCCCAAAAGGCACTTTCCTCCTCCTAAACTATGACACTGCCATGAAAGTTAGTGGGTGTCAGGGGAGGTGTCAAAATATCCACAGACAAGGGAGAATTCTAGGAACAAACAACAACTTTCAGTAAACAAGGAATATCCAAAGGCTTAAAATTCCCCAGGTCCTATTCAGTGGAAGTTCCTAACCAGAGAGGAGAAAGATATGCTAAGGACCTTGCATAACAAAGAGCAGGAAGGATGCAAAAATAAAGAACAGGCAGAGGCGAGGAGGGGCAGCTCCATCAAAACAACAAGGATAAATACGGTGAGCACTAGTGCCAACTGCTCCTTGTATGAGCAGTTCAGGGTGAGATGGGTCTTCCTGCAACTGTCCAAGGAGGGAAAGAGGAAACTCTCACTGCCTGAAAGATGGTGCTTTGAATTGTTGATAGTGGAAAAACACAAGAACATCCTATGTCACACTCCACACAAGAAGAAAACCTCTATCTGATGGCACATCCCACGTAGTCTAAGGGGATAAAATCCCATGGGCCAATGGATGAGCCCAGGGGTTTCTGCAGCACAAGTGATATCATCTCACTGCTCCAACAGACTCACTCCTCCTGGGCATGTGGTCCCCAGATGCTCAGTTCTGGAGAAACAGTCAACACCAGCCCTGTCTTCTCAACAGCTAACAGGAAGGGGCTCCTCAACACTGAACTTCCCCCCAAATCGTGATGATCAGGACTGTGTGCTGTGCAGAGACGCCTCAGAACTGCTCTTATCTATTAAAGCTTTTTCATCTTTGAATGATGCAGCCATTTCTTCTATTTCTTCTGGGTGGTTCCCACGGTCATTCACAGACTTCTTTGTGTCAGGTCATAGAGCCTCAGTTGCCCAGCAGAAGCATTTCAGGAGACCATCCCTAGGGATGTGGCTTCATGATGACTCGAGGGTCTGGAAGTGAGCCCCTGCTCTTACCTTCCTGCTGTCACCTGCAGCCTCCATGCCAGCTTTGCACAGAGGAGTAGCACTCCTGTCTTCCACTGCCAGAGATTTCAGAGACACAAAGGTGATTATGCACTGCATTAATTTTGACTCTACCACTTCCTTCAGCCTATGCGAAGGAAGAATCAATTTCCGTTCTGACAGTGCACTGGTCTAAATATCATGGTGACCAGTCACCAGCAATAGAAATAAAAACAAGGGACCAATAATGATGAAGATGAAATAGCCTAAATAAGCCTAGGCTTCACAGCTTTCAAACTTGGACATTTGATTTTGAGATACAAGGACAGATCGCTAAATAAGTGACAAAAAAGTCACTTTGACCCAGCTAATGGCACTGATAAGAGCTACAACCAGATGAGACATTATCATAAAAGCCCCTGATGAAAACAACTGGAACCACCATTAAGTTCTACACTCAGGTAGGGTGACAAATTCAGAATAGACATGAGAGGCATCCAGGTCCCACCTTCTAGCATTTAGGTCTCTGCTTCCTCTGGGGAAAAATCGAAGGAACAGCAACTAAGACATCACATGTGAGGACATCCAGGTACTGTACACTTTGACATTCAATGCAGGTGGACATCACCTCAGACAACCAGAATATTTCTCAATCAAGCCTCTCCATCAATATATACTTTCAGGTAGGAGAGTCACCAACGAGAATTCACAGGACAAAGTCACCGAAAGGTACTGCCTTTAAGAAAACTAAACCTATACTCTATAAAGGGAATTACTAAACTGAGATCAAGAAAATAATATAGGTATGGTTTATATCCTCAAAGACATAGGAGCTGATATTAGCCAAAGTGAGAATACAGTCATAAAACAAAAATATTCAGTATAAAACATAGTACAGTAAAAACATAGGATAAATAATGCAATCAATATGTCTGAAGCTCAAATGGAAGAACTCTTATAGAAGCTTCAGGAAATTACAAAGTCTAAATGGGGAGGATAAAGGGCCATAACTTATTCATTTCAGTCACCCAAACATCCCACACCTTAGGGGCCTCTCCCATTGAGCTATAGAGGGATGTACCAGATTCCAGGCACTTGGCTTCAGGGTCCCCTCCATGGCCCTAAACGTGTGGTTCAAATACCTATGGACTCTGCTGTGCTTGGATAGATTATCCCAATGACTGGGTTAATGAAAATGTTCTCAGGAATAGCAGTAGGTAACAGAACAATTTTTTTCTATATCATATATACAGAAAATATATTGAAGGAAATAGATTATCTGTATTAATTAGATGGCAGATTTTTATCCAGATTCAATTGAGAACTCAACATATCAAAATAATTGGCATTCAGGAGGACTGGAAAAAGAGACCTGGAATGTCCACTGTTGAATTCCTGATCCATTCATTCCTGAAGTATGCTGGATCACTCACAGGATCAGCAATCCCTAAAATCGAGCTTATTTTCTCTTCCTGGCAAAACTTTGATCCAGGACTGTGAGATTAAGACTTTCAGATGGGGCCATTTCAACATGGAACCCATCTACTTTTACAGGAGGCATCACAATGGAAAACTGTCCAGTCAGGAAAGATAATGACAAGGACTCCTGCCATAAGCACCTACCATGTAATTTGTCAGGAGGCCAGGAGACTAGAGACTCTGATAATGGTTCCCAGGAGAGGACCAAGCAATGAATTTTCCTAGTCAGACAAATCACTCAATCACCTTCAGCCAACTCATCCCAACAAGGATATTCAGGGCAGGTTCCATAAAGAAGGCACACCTATGTCAAGACCTCCAGCCTACCATATCTGAAGATCTTATGTTCTCAACATAAGACCAGGGAAGAGGGGAAAGTGCTCTACCAATGGCTCAGCCCTGCACATAGCAGACATCCTGGCCGTGAAATACAGCCTTCACCATCCCAAAGGGAGCTCAAGGCACTGAAGGTTGAACACATGTGTCTGAGAACTACAGACATAGAAGTATGGAGAAGACCAGAGTGACCCAGCCCACAATAAATATAACCAACATCCCGTGGAATTTCCATGGGGGTGTAATGTAATGAATCTCTCCAAGAGAAGCTAGGACCTCACCAGGACTATCCCGAATACGCTGGCTTGGGAAGGACCCCCATATGGATAAATAAGGAGAAAGAACAACAGCAGGGAAACAAGGGTCAGAGGATGACAAGGCTATATGGAACATGAGCTAGGATGATGGGGATCAACATCTGGCACAGATGTGGACAATGTCAAAGCCAAACACACCTGGCAGAAGATTCCATTAGAGGTCAGCACAGCATCTGCTCGATCCTGGGTTAGGCCTTCCAGCAATTGCAAGCAGAAAGGTTTCAGACACAAATCCCCTTTACTCTTCATTCTAGCAGTTTTAAATGGATGGACAGGTGAACTGGCTTGGCTTCCTAGAATTCGTGGAAGCTAAAGAAAGGGGAATATCAGAGGAGAGAATAAATTCTCCTTACCAAAACAAAACAAAACAAGACAAGTATCAATTGTTCAAATTCAAGTGACATGTAGGCAGTTCTAGGAGCTCAAAGAATGGAGAAAAAGATACAACAACTAAACGTTAAGATTTTAGACCATACTTGCCCCTAAGCTATATAGAGAGGTATGTAGTAATTAAATGCAAAAAGTGAAATATAACACAATATCCACGCAGTGTGGAAAACTAAACCCCTAACCTCCATTAGATTTTAATGAGGAATGAGAGCTATAGATTTCTTCTTAAATATTTATCTACAACTCATGAAAAGGGAGATCTGATATACGAGGTAGATCTAAATGTAGATCTTTGAATATCTCATTCTCATCTATTTTTTTGAAGTAGAAAGCATGAGATTTAAAAAACCAATCATCCTTTGAATATAGAGAGGTATTTATTCTCTAGTTTTTACATTTCGGGGATTTAGTTTAGGCAGGCATTGTGGGAGGTTGAGATGGCAACAAGGCTGCATGGGATCTAGGGGTATATAAAGAATCTCTTCTCAGGAGAGGGAAAAAGTTCTCATCCCAGGAAGACGGAATAGGGAGTGCCTTAGCTGCATTAGGCACTGAGCCCATTCCTCTTCTGCTGAAAAGGAAGCCCAGGAGGTTGGCATTTTCCTAGAATGATTGGGTAGCCATGTCACATCCTCACCCTCTTAGTTTACTTATTTCCATGCAGAGCCACATCTCAGCTACTCGGGGGAATTTATGACTCATAGGAGGTGTACGAACAGATAGAGTTGATGGACAAATGAGCAGACTCTTGACCCAATGGAATGATATCCTGCAATACAGTCTACCTATTCCTCAGAGGGTCCCAGTGGGACTAGCCACATACAGCCTAGAGGTGAACAGCTCAATGCTGTGCCTGTCACTGGAAATTCATCCTGTCCTGTCTCATATGCACCATTCTCTCCTCTGTTCCAAATACAGTCGAGGCCCTAAGTCCAAGTCTCAGATTCTGGTTTCAGGGATTCATAGTAGGGTCCTCAGGTTTCACTTCCATTTTGGCATTGGCAAGACTGAGCAAAAAATTAAAAATGCAAAATTAGTTATGTCAGGATATAAAACTGGGATCTATCTTTTTAAGGTCTGTATGTTAGGAAGATAAGGGAATATTAAGGAGCTTTGTTAAGTTTAAATTTCAAAGTTATTTTCATAAATGCCTGAGAGACACAACTTCCAAATCTTACACAAGTTGGTATAGGATATACAACTTGTCTATGAAAAAAAAATCCATAATTTCAAATCTCCCACCAAAACCCCTCTAGGTTCAATGTCTCCTCACTACCTTCTTTATACTGAAGAACTTCAACCCAGGAACACATACTAATTCTATACAAATTCTTCTGGACAATAAAAAAGATAGAATCATTGAGTGATGTCAGCATCATGGTGGAGCGAGCTCTCCTGGTAATCTTTCTGTGCCATAATACAATGAAAAAGACATTCGTACTCCAACAGAGGACACCCACACAACACAAAAGACATCTGAGAGACCCATTCAGTCATACGTTGGAGGGTGGAGAGGCTGGAGCCCCTGTCAGACGTGGTGGAACAGGGTAAGAGAAAACTTCTCTCGCACCCCAAAAGACTGATCTGGGGACTGCACGTGGCCCCCAAGAGGAAGGGAAGGGGGAAGTGGTGCCCCTTCACGGGAAGGTCAAAGATCCCTGAGGTCCCTCTCAGCCTAGGGGAAAGCCCCCTACTGAGGTGAAAGCTAGCGTGAGGGTAACTTCATCAAGCCAACACCCTAGGGGAGCAGGTAGCAAGAGCAGAGCAAGTAAGGCCATGAGAGCACAGAAATGAAAGCACTCCTCCCCCCAACTGCCCAGTGCCTGGGATCCCAGTGGAATGCAGAGGGCTCAGAATATGCAGCTCTTGACCTCTACCCAGTGGCAATAGGTAGTAATGGTGATCAATAATACCAGGATGTGGAAGAATAGAGCAATACCCTCTAGTGGTATCAAAAATTATATTAAATCTCCAGACCACAGAGAAAATGACAAGTACTCAGAAGTCAGTCCTGAAGACACAGAAATATGTAATCTAAATGATAGAAAATTCAAAATACCTATCAAAAAACTCAACGAGTTAAAAGAGAAGGTAGAGAAACAATTCAACAAGTTCAGGAGCTACTTCACAAAAAAGATTGAAACTATAAAGAACCACCAATCAAAATACTGGAGATGAAAGACACAGCGGATGAGATAAAACAAAATATGGATGCCCTGAATGCTCGAGCAGACATCACAGAGGAGCGTATCAGCATAATCAAGGAGAGACATATTGAAATGCTCCAGATAGAGGAGAGAGAACTAAGACTTAAAAGAAATGAAGAAAGTCTCTGAGAAATATCTGACTGAATTAGGAAATGCAACATAAGAATTATAGGTATTAAAGAGGTAGAAGAAAAGGAGAATGGATCAGAAAGCTTGTTCAAAGAAATAATAGTAGAGAACTTCCCAAACCTACGGAAGAAGATGGAAATCCATGTGAAAGAGGCTACCAGATCTCCTAAATATATCAGTGTAAAAAGACCTACTGCAAAGTATATAGTAGTGAAACTGGCAAAAGTAAGTGACAAAGAAAAAATACTAAAGGCAGCAAGGCAGACGAAAACAACCTACAAAGGATCCCCTATCAGCCTTTCAGCAGATTTCTCAGCAGAAATCTTACAGGCTAGGAGAGAATGGAATGATATCAAATCTTTGAAGGGCAAAAACTTTCAGCCAAGAATACTCTATCCAGTGAAAACATCCTTCAGATATGATGGAGAAATAAAAACTTTCCCAAATAAACAAAAGCTAAGGGAGTTCATAGCCACAAGACCCCCCCCCCCATAAAAAATCCTCAAGAAGGCCCTCATACCTGGAAAAAAAAAAAAAAACAGGGAAAAAGGGGTTACAAAGTCTGGAGTAAGGAGGTAGGTAGACAACATCAGAAAATTGTAGCTATACATCAGAACAGGTTAGCAAATACTCAAGTATAACATTAAAGATAAAGAGAAGGAAAAGACCAAAACCAAAGATAATCTTGTCATTTTAACCTCAAATTCACAAGATGGCATAAGAGGTGACAAAAACAACATAGGAAGGGAAGAGGAACATGACTGAATCACTTCAGTCTAAGGAAATAAGAGGCCATTAGAAAATGGACTGTCTTATTATGAAATTTTGCATACAAACCTCATGGTAACCACTAAACAAAAAAGAACAGAGAGACAAATATTAAATAAGGAGAAAACTAAGAAATCCAACATAAAAAACTACATAACTCAATTGGTAGACCGAAATACATGGAACAAGAAACAAAGGAAATGCAGGAGAACCAGAAAACGATAAAATGGCAGCATTAAACCCTCATGTCGGTAATCATCCTAAATGTAAATGGATTGAATTCTCCAATAAAAAGACACAGAGTGCCAAGATGGATTAAAGAACAAGACCCAACAATATGCTGTCCCCAGGAAACACATCTCAGCTCTAACAAGAACCACAGGCTCAGAATGAAGGGATGGAAGATAATCCTCCAAGCTAACGGCAAGCAAAAGAAAGCAGGTGTCACAATACTTATATCAGACAAAGTAGACTTCAAGGTAAGACAGGTAAAGGAGAGACAAAGAGGGGCAGTATATATTAACCAAAGGGACACTCCACCAAGAAGACATAACTCTTATAAATATCTATGCACCCAACACAGGAGCAAAGTATGCAAAGCAACTATTAACAAACCTAAAAGGAGATATTAACAACACAATAATAGTAGGGGACTGCAACACTCCACTCACATCAATGGACAGATTATCCAGACAGAAAATCAAGGAAACAGTGGAATTAAATGAAAAGCTAGACGAGTTGGATTTAATAGACATATATAGAACACTCTATCCAAAAACAGCAGAACACACATTCTTCTCAAGTGTACATGGAACAGACCATATGTTGGGAAATGAGGCAAGCCTCAATAAATTTAAGATTAAATAATAAGCATCTTTTCTGATCACAATGCTATGAAGCTATAAATTAAAGAAAAAAGCTGAAAAAAGGACAAATATGTGGAGACTAAACAACATGCTATTGAACAACTGATGGATCATTGAAGAAATTACAGGAGAAATCAAAAAATAACTGGAGACGAGGGGGCCGGCCCGGTGGCGCAGCGGTTAAGTTCACTCGTTCCACTTCTCGGCGGCCCGGGGTTCGCTGGTTCGGATCCTGGGTGCAGACATGGCACTGCTTGGCAGCCATGCTGTGGTAGGCGTCCCACATATAAACTAGAGGAAGATGGGCACGGATGTTAGCTCAGAGCCAGGCTTCCTCAGCAAAAAGAGGAGGACTGGCAGTAGTTAGCAGAGGGCTAATCTTCCTAAAAAATAAATAAATAAATAAATAACTGGAGAGGAATGAAAATGAAAACATACCATACCAACTCATATGGGATACAGCAACAGTGGTACTAAGAGGGAAAATTCATCACAATACAAGCTCACCTTAACAAACAAGAAAAATCCCAAATAAGCAATCTCAAACTACACCTAACTGAATTAGAAAAAGAAAAACAAAGCCCAAAGTCAGCAGAAGGAGAGGAATAATAAAAGAGCAGAAATAAATGCAATTGAAACAAAAAAGGCAGTAGAAAGGATCAATGAAGCAAAGACCTGGTTCTTTAAGATAAACAAAATTGACAAATAGAAAAAGAGAAAGCTCAGATAAACAAAATTAGAAATGAAAGAGGAGAAATAACAGATACCA